GAAACTCGAAACGAGTCGAGACAGGACCAGACGACTCGGTACCTTTGCCAGCTTCCCTTTCGCAGCTTTAATTATCGAACACGCGAGAACACGCGCTGTAAACGTTTAATTCAATGTTTCTTCGTTCAGAGTAAGAATTCTCAACGAGAGTTCGCGGTTTCTCGGAGGCCACAAGTAACACATGTATCAAAGAAACTACCGAAAATATCTATGCCAACGGCTTTTACATTTTTTCCAAGGTATTTTGGGAACCGTGAAACATTTTAGCAACAATTTCGCAATTTCCACGCATTTTATAGGCCTCGATTTCAATTTACATATTCATGAATCATACAGAATTTGAGCGAAGAAAAATTGGTTGCGGAGAGTTGCGGTTCCAAGCGCCAAAGCATGTTTAGTATAAACATACTATGCATCATGCGGACACCGAATGCATCGTTCGTGGCTTCCGCGTTTTCTCACCGAAACCACCTTTTGCATTATACTTGTGGATAAAATAAACGTCTCGTTCTATACGATAAGCGATCATTTACGCGTACGCTTAATCATTCTTAGCAGTACATTCCACGTAGTTTTCATCGTTCGATGACATAGGTACGCCAAGTTTGATCGAAGGAGAGCGACGTTTTATCCACGTTGATAAAAGTTCCGCGATAGTCTGTGTCGCGTAGGCGTTCAAGAACGAGCACGTGACGGAACGAAAATGATCGATACAACGTCGACGTGGGGATGCATTTAATGTAGCTGCAAATTAATGTCACACGCCGACCGTACAGTCAATTTTGGACGACGGCCATGATCCCGGTGACGGGAAACTCTAGCACGTTTGGCCCGTTTCGTTGCCACTCTTTCGTCTCTCTTGGTTTCCGCGAACTTCGCTCGACCGAGGACTTTGCCCATCCCTCGAGCCAGTTAATATTTCCCTTGAATCCGTCTCACCCACATTTTCCATTGCTATCGTTCAAACGTGAATTTCGTGGTCGCTTTATTTCCGTCCTTTCGCCTAGCACGATGCAACCTAGTCGCGGACGAACGAACCAACAAAGATTGCTTACTTGAAAATGCATTAGAAGCATTAATTCTCAAACAGAGAAGCGGAACTGGAATTACTTTCTACGGCTAAACAAGCTTGCACCAATTTGGTTGTCCCTTCTCCGTGTATGAAAATATATGCGTCTGTGCGAGCGTCGAAATTAGATGCGTTCGAAGTTTGGCGCGCGAAAGCAAAGAAGGATCTTTGATAGCGGCCATTTTCGAAGCTGGTCGCGGAAGAAGAAACGAGTTAATGCTGAATATTACGACGCGTGCGACAAACCTATTAAAAATTTGTATTTTTGTTTAACGAGTGACGGACAAACAGAACTTTTATCAGGGCGGAGATTTTAAGCGAAGTGGTATGTATAATCGCAAAAGTCTGGCGATGATCGTCCGCCGCCGTTTTTATCCCCTCCGTGGCGTCGGCATCGGCGTCGACGTCAACGTCAGCGTCGGCGTCGGCGTCGTCGGCGACACGACTTAGGTGCACACTCGTCGAAAGACGACGAAAAAGTAATTTTCTCTATTATCCCAATAAACGGCCAAATTTCCCGCGATAATTTCGACCCGTTAACCGGTGGAGGCGACTCCGCGTCGCTTTCTTCAGCCCTTTTTCAGCTATCGTTCCAAGTTTAATGTAATGGTTAATTCGTGCAACGACGAGGTCAGATCCTAATCCCAGTCACGAATGAGTCACGAACCGAGTCCCCTCGGTCACGAAACCAACGACACATCATGCTCCTCGCGAAACCGTTACATTCCCGTACCTGGTTCGTCGATACACATGTATCGCGTGGGACGACGAGCCTTGATTTTACAATAAGGAACATTTGCAGAAATTATTAAAAAAAAAAACGGCCTTTTTATTACTGAACGCGTCATCATTTTAATTCGAGTTTAAATTTCACGCGTAAAAGCCTATAAAGGGCTGAAACCACCAACTTTTGAGTGTTACATTATCAAAATGATTTTTGCTCCATCCCAGCGCATGTCCTGATTCCATTCGTATCTCCGTCTTTAGACGAGATTTCATCTCTCGCGTCCTATCGATTTTTTCCTTTCTTCTCTGTTTCTCTCACTCTTTGTTTCGCTGGCGACGTTCGGCCGCTCGTAAAGACGAGAATGCGAGCTCGCGACAGCCGCGAGCGAAATTCGTTTAGCCTGATTTAAAGCGTCGCCCGTTACTTAACCCTCTTACCCCTTACAGACCAAGAGATTTGTTTCGCAGCCACTTCGCTAACTGCGCGCCGTACCAAACAGCTGAGACGCATAAGCAATAACGAGAACATGGATATCGTGCAGTCGATTTGGCTAGCACAGTACGTTTAAGAAAGACTTTTATGTTCGTACGGACAATATCGGTGGAAATTTATTCACACCGAGAATCGCATCACGCCAGGATCGATACGTACACGTGCAAGCGCGTGGTCCCGCAATCCCAAGTGTCGAAGGTTAGAAGCGAAATGAGATTTTCGCTGACAACTTGGTAAATCTCTCGCTGTGAAACTTTCCTGCCTTCCGCGATACTGCAGGTCGCGGAAAGACCTCGGACAAGGTCGATCGGAAAAACGAAAAATTAGTTTTCCAGGGTTGAAATTCAAAGCCTCGAATGTTCTTGGCTCTTGGACACCTTTGTGACAAACTCGGGCAACGCGATTAAGTTCATCGCCGCCCTAATTAGTCGGCAACTCGAGTGCTCGCGTTGGAGTGCTCCATTTCCTCTGTTTACAAATATTTAATTACAGCGTCACGCGTGCGGGATTACTCGGCAGGTTCCTACGTATTCACGTAACGCGTTTAAAGTAAGTATGTCGGATTAGCAGTGGAATTTGCACGCACTTAATTGCACAACGACTGAAAGTTCGACGCGTCTCAGGAATCAGCTACGATGTTCTCCTTCGCGATGACAGCTCGCGAACTCGACGAGGACGGAAAGACGATACACGGCTTGCGTAAGACCATCTAACGTCTCCTGGAACTCGTAGAACCGGACACGATGTAATTATAGCGGGTTATGGTAAAAATAACGTTGCGGATTAATTACAAAACAAGTAAGCGTTTTGCAAGGTAAAAGTGGCGGTAGTAGTTGACCATGTACCAGTGGTTGACACTTCCAGAAATAAAGGATGAAAATAAGATACCCATGGGTCGTGTTCGTTATAGTAGAGCATTATCGGATAGCCGTGGTATCCGCGATCCTTGCCGTTTCGTGACGATCGTAGTTGAAACGTGATTTTCGCCAAAGACGAGCTAATCTTCCAATTTTCTTAGCGAAAAGAAAAAATAGCACGTAATGCATTCTTCTATGTAGCGAAAGTAAAGCGAACCTAACATTACGGTCACTGTACAAATACCGAGAGGATGGTTCTTACAAAAATCGATTTCGCTGCACCGGCGAAGCGTGCCCTGACGAGTGACCCTACTTTCACAGTTGACCCCGATTCGCTTCGAAATGACCAGGATGGAAAGGCCCTGTTTGTTCTGCGCTTCCTCGAACGAGGCACCCCTGTACCGTCGAAAGAAGGAGGGAAATAAACCGAGAACGAGAGGAGAGGTGCGCGGATCGTTGCAGAAAAATTACCGGTCGTAGACTCTCGCCGACGCGCGACGCAGGGGCTACCTTAAGGGTTGTGATCAGAGTCTGCGAGACCAAACGGAAGGGTTTGAGCGTGAGAGCTTTCCACGGGGCACGATAATTACCCCCAGTGGTCAGCATCGACGCCCGAGGGAGGCTCCATCCCCCTTTAAGTGCGCCAGGATCCTGCGTTTCCCGTCTTTCCATTCGACCAAACGAATTAACGGATAAAATTATTCTATTCGCGTCCACCCCCTTCCAGGGGTGCAGCGTCTCTCTTGTCGTGATTTTGACCAACACCTACCGGTGCCGGAATTACTCTGTGAACAGAAGAAAACATCTGCTCAGGGTCCCAATCGAAGGGTACCCCCAAAATCAATGTTGCGGCTTGACAGGCTCTAGACGTATTGTTAACAGACAACGACCTGAGCGCCAAGCTTTATTAAACAAGTTACAAGAAATTACTTCTACTGATTATATAAATTATAAGTTCAAATTTCTTTATATAAACACTTTTTTCATTGTACTCTCTAATTACATATTGTAAGTGTTCCTTGCCGCTAATGGTCAAAAACGTGGCAAGTGACGGTATAGGCATCTAGCGGTGAGAAGGTGGAACTAAAATTATCGACATTACAGAAAAAATTAAAAAGTACTTATATAATCTATTTTATTCCGTTTAATAATAAACTTGTAGTCATAAAACAAACACTGGGAGATTAAAATTCATTAGTACAAGTTAAAATAAGCAGACCAGTTCCAGACCAGTTCCAGACCAGTTCCAACGGATAGATGGCGCCATGTATTTTTTACTTTAAAGAAACAAATAATTTAAGAGTTAAAAAAATGGCTTTCATTCAAATTTTAATATCACATTGCTGGTTCACTTATTTGTTATTGCATATAATAATAAAAAAAATTTCAACATACAAATGACGCTATCTAGCGTTAAAAAGAGGAACTATTCGAGGACAAACTTGGGCGTTTTCCCATCGATGGTGCCACATACTATAGTTCCCCATAGGGATGCGCGGGTAATTAAATTTTGAACTTGTATAATCATTCGAAATAATTTCTTGGTGCCGGTAAGGAACATAAAAATTCACCTCTTTGATCGCGATTCGTTCCAAATAAATTCTTTATTTATCGATGAATTCCAGTCTTTAATTCTATCGTTACATTTGTATTAGAACATAATTAAAACGTATTCGCATTTGGTATAGGTAAGATGAATTCATTCGTCTCTACATATTTGTTACTACATGCAACGGGCTGCGTTTCTAAACGAGAAACGGGTTTACGGTTAACGGGTTGAGAAACATTTTCCTTCTATATAAATGTTAGATATATTGAATATTGATTGGAAAATAAATTTATCGTATAAATAAAATTCTTTTTTTTTTTAACGTTGAGCTTACAAATTGCATGTACAAGTAGATATTCCATATTGCTTAAAAATATAAACTTTACAACTAAACATAATCATCACAGACTTTTAACGGAACCTACCAAACTGAACATTTCATTTCACGTAAAATGCGTTGGATACGTAAACTCGATATTAAGCTTGTTAGGATTAACATGTTACTAATATAGAAATACACTATAGTCCACCAGATACTGATTTGAAAATTTTCTCCTAACAGAACTTGCTGTGAACTTTAGTACTAATGTACGATACATATTCATATGAATCAGTGCATGTATAGTTGGATTACAGTTACTTCTACAATAATTTCAATTAACATGAATTTATTATAATTATAAATAGACATTCTACCTATAATAATGACAACTACTAATCGTTTCGATCTCTCAGAGGAGTCAATGATTTATGCGGGGAAGAAACGGGCGTTGCGTGAGCGCTCTTCGGAATTCCTAACATATTTTCCTTCCCTTTACTGTGCGTACGTTTTTCTTCTGCTTTCAGTTTTTCTATGATTTTTTGCTGTTGTTCTGTTATCCGTATTTTGACGCGCAAGTCCTAAAAATATATACTAAATTTTACCACTTCGAATTTAATTTACAACTGGTTAATAAATGGAAAAAACGAAAAAGAAAGTCGTATGCTTTTCTTTGTAAAGCAAGAACATTTATTTAAGTGCGCACTACTTTCGATGAAGCAAATATTCCTGATCCACATGTATACTTACATTAATAAATAATATATGTGGACTAAATAACAAATATTCACGCAAAATTTACTGACCTAAGTGTACCACGATAACAAAATAGAACTGTGAATGTTTAATAAACTTATCGACTAATTTATTCTACAAACATTAAATATTAATAATACCGCGGTGATGGTTTAAGAATCAAGTATATCGAATATAAACTGATTGCAAGTCCAAGAAAGACGATCAGACGCACCTGTTCTAGTTGGTTAATTTTATCCTTTAATTGAGACACGTGTTTAATTCTTTGTTTATGATTTTGATGACCAAGTAATTCGGCATACTTCTCACTAATCTCTTGGTAATCTTTTGCGAGACGCTCGTTGTGTTCAAGAAGATTTTTTATTTTCCTAAGTAAATAAAACAAGACTTGTTACTTCATTGCCTAATGAACAGAATTTGCGAAACGCATGATGCGTACGAAGAATACTTACTCTTCGGCCGCTTCTCGAGAGGCTCTTTCATATTCAAGAGACTTGGTTTTATCCTGTACAGAAATAATATTTTAATATCGATTAATGTTTTGATTATTTTTTATCTATTGAAAGCATTTATGTAAAATAACAATTACCTGTATAATATTATCTTTTTCTTCGAGACTTTTAATTTTATCGGACAGCTCTTGAATTTTAGCATTTGCCTAAAAATATTATATAACGATAGATAGTACTACTCTCATTGCATTATACAACAAAAATATAACGTATATAAATATCGAAAACGTACCTCGCTCAACGCGATTTTATGGTTTGCGGATTGCGTCTCAAAAAATTTGGTAGTTTCCTCCAGAGCTTCTTTGCTAGCTTTCAGCTGATCGTTAAGCTTAACGTTGAGCAGTTCCACTCGAGAAATTTCCAACTCTTGAGCATCGTACCTTTCTTCCATTTTGAGTAGCACGCTTTGCGCTTCGTTGAGGTGATCAGCCATTTCGTGAAGTTGTTTCTTCATCTAATATTACAAATTAAATTACTATTAGTTTCATCTATAATGATTGTCGAAAATATGTGGCGAACATACCTCAGCATTATCAGCATCTTTTATATCGCAATCATCCTTTAATTTCGTTACTTCGTTTGTTACTATTTGTTTTAAATCTTCGATTTTAGCTTCAAATATAGTTCTGATCGACTCCACCTCGCTTAAACTCTCAGCTTCTAGTTGGTTAACTAATCCTTTATTAGCATCTAACTGCTCCATTAAGGTGTGTACTTGTACGTGTACCATTTGTGAATTGTTATGCATGATACTCAATAAATCGCGATGCTCGTTTATACAGTCTTCGCCACGTTTCAGCTCGCGTTGCAACCGTTCTATTTCGGCATTGCTTTGCGCTAAACGTTTAGTTAAAGCAGCAACCGATGCTTGATTTTCTGCCATTATAACTTCGAATCTAACCAATATTTTAATATTGTTAAAGGCCTGTATACAAACAAGTCATAAATACATATACGATTAAAAAGTTGTACCTCTTCCTTCTAGCCACCATTTCTGCTGCTTCCGATCGAATCTGATCTTTTAAAGCCCTCAGTTCCTCCTTTTTTCCAGCTAATTCAGTTTCGGCACGATCTAACTCCATTTGCAAACTTTGACTGAAGCTTTCCTAATTTTTGCACATCGAATAACTAAAGTTAATGTTACTAATTTTATTAATTTATTAGTATCACTAATTAGCGTCGCATTAATTACCTGAGTTTCTGCAGAAGACTTTAATTCTTCAAGGATCGCAGAAAGTCTATTAATCTCAGCATCTTTCTGCGCTAGTTTTTCGTCTAATGCTGTTCGTTCCATTTCTACTCGCGCCAAAGATGCTTTGTATCTTTCCACGGTTAATCGCATTTCTTCTTCTACAGTAGCTTTTGCTTCTTTGATCGCGTTTACCTGCGTTAACAACTATACGTTAAACATAAAGACAGATACACTTAAACAAAACTTGACACGAGACCTGCTTACTTTCTCGTCGCTCTCGGCGATCGTTTTTTTCATTCTTTCTTCGCATTCCGCGATTTCGTCGGTTAAATGATTAATGAAAGAATTCAATTCAGATTTATCCTGTTCTAACAAACTGACTTCGCATTTGTGTCTTTCCGTTAAATCTTGCAACTTTTTTAAAAGTTCTTCTATTTGCGCTTCGAGTGCCTGGATCTGCGAACCAAAAGTAGTCGTATCTAAAGTGACTAGACTATAATGTTTCCAACAAATCATTTCTCGACATTAGTGTTCATTTACTTTTTCTTCGTTGGCGCGTTTCTCATCGACCAATTCGGCTTCTAACTCGACTATTCTTTGCGTAAAGCCCGCAATCCGATTCCTAAGGTCTTCTTCTACCGCTTTTCTAGCTTGAATTTCCCGTTCTTTCTCATCCGAAACTTCTAACAATTGACAACGAAGATGCTCTATTTCTAATTGATGTTTCTCAACATGACCATTCAATACGTCTTGCTGCAATTTAGCCTAGAGATAAAAATCGTCAATTAAAAATCTAACGTATGAAAATAAAAATGTTTAATTACGAAAAATGCCCCCCAACCATCGTCTCTATGTCTTTCCTGTGTTGATCCTCCGTGTCGGCTTGCTTTCGACGTAACTCCTCCAATTGCAATTCTAACATTCGCGATTCCGTTTTCATATCCTCGATGAGCTTTTCGTGCTCCTGTATGGTTTTGTTTTTGTTCGTACATTCCACTTGAAGATCCGCAAGCTGATGTTCAGGTTTATATTTTAATTTCTTCGTGCTGGTTGGAATAAGCGCGCGTGGCTTCGCTTTCGAACACGATCTCGGGGATACCTTTTTACGCGGAAGTTGTGGCTACGAATAAACACAATTTCATTGAAATTAATATTTATTCGATATTTTAATGGGAGACGTCGTAATATTTTAATTAAGTTCTGGTTTCTCACCGTTCTAAAACTCGCAACAACGTTGCTCCTACTTTTAGCAGAAACTGATAAATCGTGTTCAGCGCTGACTACGCTTTTGTTATCATGAAATCTGTCTGATTTCTCGATAACGATACCTTTAACCTTAACGTCGAATTTAGGATCGTAAGCTCCGGGTGGAGGAACTTCATCTGTAAATAATTCCCGTTTTAAATAGAAATTTAAGAACGTCTGTACGATTATTTCAGTGGCAGCGGAGTTGAGCATTGATCGATTAGATTTATTCGAAGTTGTCGGAATAACGCTCAATTATATTGGAAAGTCAGAGCATTGGAATTGAAAGGAACCTTTGGGCCCCTCGGACTTGAAGCCCTCTAAACGAAGACGGTTACGTCTCCGTAGGGTCATAGAATTACCAGGTGTGCGCTCTAACGACTGCTCACATCGTACCCCAACCAAATCGACCCCTCCATTCTATTTTCCTTTATCTCTACCCTCTGCGCTGTTATTCTCTCATGCAGCATTTAAAAAATTAAATATCCTTGTACATTATTTCTCTCTTGCATTTCAATCTAACACTAGTTTATATAAAAACAAAAAACTCGACAGAGTTTCGCGCCAAATAATTAAAGTGCGAAAAACCGTACGGAGTATACTTGTCCCAAAATACATATAGTATACGTTGCATGCAGGATAAAAACCGTTACGTATACATATACAATATTCCAATTGAAGCGATTTATACGTATACAGGGTGTTTGGTAACTGATGGTACAAGCGAAAAGGGGGTGAGATTCTACGTGAAAAAATAAGTCGAAAATACAGATGAAACATTTTTCATGCGAGGCTTTGTTTTCGAGAAAATCGAGTTTCAATTATCGCCGGGTACGGTGCCCTTATAACAGATCTCACTGCAGATCACTGTCTCGATTGAAGTTATCGTGATAAACATTTCCAATAAAACAATCGAATACGTTATAAAGCCTTCACAGAAATTTAATTAGAAAAGCAGAAGTATATATACAGGGTGTTAAAAGAAAAGCATTCAATATTTATATAAAGCTTTAGTAAACATAGGTCCGAAGGTCAACCGTTTCTGAGATATAAACATTTTTGTTTGCTAGAAATAAAACAACCTCAAACTGCGATAATAACCATCATGACAACGATCTACAGTGAGAAAAATGTTTATCCTACAAGAATTAGTAACCGAATAATCATAATTAAACGAGGTTTTTAGTTCAATAATGAATTTTTAATTAAATTCCTGACATAAAATAGAAATCGTTACTAATATACAAATGAAATTACAATTTTTTAAATACAACTAAACTGCTTCTTAATCTAAAAACAAGAAGATATGAATATGTTCAATATCGTGTTCGCGCTAAAGAAATGTAATTGAAAAACCTCTGTACTCACTTTCAAATTCGTTAAATCTTTGGATTCTTGCTTTTGAGAACGACATTGTTGAAGTCTTTTAATTTATTTTAGGAAAAATACACAATCAGTAGAAGCGACGTTAACACTATTTTACTGCTGAGCACTTAACCGATATTGATTCGTAAAAAGATAAAGTTATCCATGCACTTCGTACGTCTTCTTCCTATGAACTCTAAATCACGAATGTTGTTCCACCACCACTTCGCAGTCCACTACGTAACGGAAAGCTGCAACGGTTTTGCCGTTTAAAATTGACGGTTAAAAGTTGAACGTGGACGGACGAGCGAATCAACAGGCTCGTGTTATGCAACCAGCCAATTCGATACTGTTATGCCAGACTCTTCTCCCATTCGTGTATGCGCGTCGAAAAAAGCTGAACGCGCAGTACTGTAGTTATAGTCAACGATGCCTGGTCCAAATTCATTATACTTGTATTTTTCTTTTGGGCGACTCAAAAATATTAGATACTTTACTGACGCTAAAACCAATGCGCTTGCGCGACTGGAAGTAGATGGAGACTCTGCATCACAGTTAACCGCCCGTTTTTTCGTCGTTCCTTAGAGAAATCGTCCCTGTGGACCCTATGTCACGCTTGCTAACCCACCTCCTCCGCCCTTCGTTTATTCGTAGCAACATCTAAATATAGGCATTAAAAGCAACGTAACTGTACGTAACCGGCAATAATAGAGTGCATCCAGAAAGGCCATCACTCGGTGAGCCGGTCGGTGAGCCGGTCGGTGAGCGGATTTAGTACCTGTAGCGCCATCGGTGGCAAAACGCCCAAGTTTGTAGTGAAAATAGTTCCTACTGTTTTTATAAGGTGGCGCCACCGATATCTTTTAGACAATTATTCTTTATTTTTCTTAAATTTGCTTTATAATATTACAATATATCAATTCAATTATCATTTCTATAAATAGTTATTTAATTTCGTAATAATTATCAACCATTTAGTTAGTAGTGCCATTTAGCTGCAATAGTGTGAATTATTTTCATTACAAACTTGAGCATTTTTCCACTGATGGCGCCACTAGTATTCTCCTAGAGCGACTTAGCGCCTTTTCGAATGGAATAAACTGGAATAAACATTATGTTATTATTTATCACAATTGCAAACTGCAGTCATTTTATCAAAGTTTTGAAAAGTGACCTTGTACGTGTAACCCTGTATAACCTCTCCCGTATGCAATTTCTGTGATACAATCCAGCAGAAATCAGCAATATAAAATCTCATTATCGAGCAGTTGTTACATTTATTTGATAAACGATATACCATATTTGATTTTAAAACATTTGATTATAATGAATAATAAGTTTTTAAAAATATTTTATCGTTATAGCAACGACATGTTTCTCTGATGGTTGTCAGAATGTCTGCACGTCAAATGCCACGTTGTATCTGGTTGTATCGAATAGACCAATGAGGTGTCTACCATAACATTTGTGTGATTTCAACGTGTAACAGCAGAGCTCTTGTAACAAAGTTCTTTACAACTGTATGAAATGGATTATAAAAAGTATATTATATTCTTAGGATTTCTTTTAAATTTAAACTATGTTTGCTGCCAGTATAGGACAAAAAATGTAAGGATCTGTTAAATCTGTTAAAGTTTCTATGACAGTCATACATATCGTAATACATACATATTTTTCAATTCTCTTTCTTCGTTTTACTTAAAAAACTATTTAATCAGTCTATAAAGAAATCTTATACATTTTCATGAATACTTTTACATGTAATTCGTAGTTTTTTTAATGCAAGAGAAATTTACTTAACCTAAAATTTAAAAAATTCATAAACTTCAATTTTATCCATATCGTGTATTTCAGACTCAGAGCTCTTCTTTATCAGATCGTGTACAACAATTAACAGAGCTAGCTCTCACAAGACCTGTAATAAAATTTAATGGTGCAAAGTTCAAAGAGTATGTTAGGACTACACCAAGAAATTATTCTGTCGTGGTAATGTTTACTGCTATGGCACCACAAAGACAGTGTCAAATATGCAGGTGAGTTTAATTTTTATTTTTCCTTAACATGTGTTAAATGTTAAATAATTTATTATATATTTCTTCTTATTTAGGCATGCAAATGATGAATTTGTAATAGTAGCAAATTCATTTCGGTACTTGCAATCTCACTCCAAAAAATTATTCTTTGCATCTGTAGATTTTGATGAAGGTTCAGATGTATTTCAAATGGTAATTAAAACATTACTATGTATCTCACATGTGCAAACATATGATATATACATTGATAAAACTTTAAATATTTTGTGTAGATGAGATTAAATACTGCACCAGTGTATATGCATTTTCCACCAAAAGGAAAACCAAAACCAGTAGATACTATGGACATTCAAAGAGTTGGATTCGGAGCAGAAGCAATAGCAAAGTGGATATCTGAACGTACTGATATTCAGGTAACTAAACATAAATATAAATATATATTCTTAGAATAAAACTGTCAATATCACTTCTAAACTTATTACAGATTAGAGTGTTCAGACCACCAAATTATTCTGGAACAGTAGCTATAACAATACTTCTAGTACTCATTGGAGGCTTTGTATACCTGAGAAGAAATAACTTGGACTTTATTTACAATAAAACAATTTGGGGACTTGGAGCATTGGTAATATTTCATTTTATAGCAATATAACGTATAACAGTTAACTTCCATTACAATGTTTATAGTTTTTCACCCTTACAATGATATCTGGACAAATGTGGAATCACATTCGGGGACCACCATTCATTCATAAATCATCTAATGGAAATGTAGCTTATATCCATGCATCATCTCAAGGTCAATTTATTTTGGAAACATATATCGTGATGGTTTTGAGTATCCTTTTTATTTTGAAAAAAAAGGTTATAAATATTTTATGCTTTTTATGCACTTTCCTTAACGAAATGTAATTAGATGGAGCTGTAGTATTAGGTATGATTTTGATGACTGAAGCAGCGTCGCGTAAAGGTGACGTAAAAAAACGAAGAATATTTGCCGCGATAGGTGCTGGATTAGTTGCAGTTTTCTTCAGTCTCCTATTATCAATATTTAGGAATAAAGCTCAGGGTTATCCATACAGGTATATTAGTTAAAAATAAAATGTCACTTGTAAATAATAGAATATAATTAATACCGTGTCTCGGAGTATATTCATATATTCGCATAAATAGCCGCTACCTCTAATGCATGTATATATAAAAGTTTACCGAATATAATAATATACTCCATCCTTTACGTTCTCGTAGAATTTTGTACTATCTTCTGTCTCAGAGAAGAATAATTTGATGTGTTACAGCTTACTTTTCAAGTAGAGAAATATATGTAGGAAGTCATCAGTTGTATACATATATTACAAAAAGAACTTTGAACTTGCCAGTTAAAGTTAAAAATTAAGCTACATACAAGAAGGATGACCATAATACTTCAGATATAATCGTTCCCATTGTTGTACCATAATATAAAATAAATTAATATTTATAGTCATTATTCAATAACACAAATTGTTTAGAATGTTGAACATGTGTACAATTCCAAAATAAAAAATACAAATTTTTTATTTCAATTGTTGCTCCTATTTTCTATATATAAATAATAAATTATAAATATTAAATAATATATAATAAATAATCGTTGTATATATAATAAACATTCGTCTTGCTAGGTGGTATGGTAAATTCGTCGTAATTCCGATTTTTCGGTAACACTTACAAAAGGTAAGGAATTAAAATTTTTCGAGATTTTGGATAATTCTGGAATGTCTGTATATACCATTGATGAGTTAATACGGCAGTACTAATCTAAAAATAAATTTATGTTATTAAAATGAGCAATTTATAAGTCAGGCATTGTAATCTAATTACCTGGTTTGACAAGACCCAAAATGTAATATAATGAAAAGTGGAACTTTCCCACAAAATTATGGAAGTTGTTACATAAATAATTATCTCTGTAATTTGCAATGCACCTGACACATATTCATAAAGGCCACCATATGGTATCTTATATGCATTGGCATTGACCTCACCATCTTTAGTTTTTCGTAAATGTCTAAGTATGTAATTTGCCCTCAATTGAGCATATGATGATAATATAAAAATAACTACATATACTAACTGACTATATGTAATTCTCTGCCATGAAAAATGTCCTTCTGACCCTATATGAAGAATTTCCAAAATGGTTAGAGTAATTAAGTAAATATTTACATAAATAAATATTTACCTTCAACAAATCCTTTAGATTCACCTATAATAGATACTAATGCCCCAATATAATGACTTAATCCTACTAAGTAATGAGTAACATTCATTTTTGCATTACTAAAAATAGTTACATAATGTGTTTCATAGAATCTTTTCCAGCAATGAAGACTAAAGAGTGTGGCAGCCACAAATGTATTTTCTGGTGAAACTAAAAGTATAGTTACCAAATAAAAAAAAGTTAAGCATATTTTCAATAACTTTTATATACTTTACTTACCTAGTGGTTGTCTAAATGACCCCAGAAGCATATTTAATACCCAAATAACATTTTTAGGTATGTCACCATCCCAAAAATATTTATAAACAATCAAATAAAATATGTAACTTGAAGCTGGTCCAGCAAACATATAAAAATGTTTAAACCATCTAAATTGTTAATTAATTAGTATAAGTACTATATCGATAATAATAATAATAATAATAATAATAATATATTATTGTTACTTACTTTTTGGGCACTTCTATTCTGTTTAAGATTGATTGATATTCCTTTACAGAAAATTTGCCATAACGAAATGTACGCGTAATAAAAAGAGGTAAGTAGGACTCCACATAGTTAATTAATAGTCCACCAGTAACAATTATTATACTATACACAAAAAACTGTACACGTATAAAATTGATATGCATTGTGGATTAACCTTTGTCTCATGGGATCCAAACTGGGGAGGGGGGGGGGGGGGGTCCTGGTACCTGAATGTTGTTACGAAGTGTCTGAAATAACGGAAAAATAAGTTTAGTAGTCTAGGAAATGAATAATATGTGAGATATGATGTTATAAAGACTACAAGACAAAAACAAGGTGACCAGATGTATGTGTATAGTGTTTACAAGTTGTAAAAAAACAATGAGTATAGATAGCATGCTATCTAACGGAACTCTTGAGGGCCTTCAGTCATCAAACTCATTATCCTTTTGTGTATGCATTTCCTGCACCTTAGTCTTCTGTCATTGCATATATAGTTAACTAATAGTATAAATAATAAGAAAAACACATTGCCAGAACTGCACCTTATTATTTAAATTTTAAAGAATTCCTGTCCTGTTTACCAACTTGCGACGATATTATCATTTTTCCCGGTTTTTTAAGCAATAAATAATATGAAAACGAATTCGCAAGAACTGCACCTTGTTATTAAAATTTAAACAATTTTTTTTACAACTTTATCGACTTCTGGCAGCATTTAAGCACCGACCTAGACTTCTGCCAGTAGCTTTATGCGATTGTTACAGTTAACAACTATAACTACACAACATTTCAGCCCGTCCACGCTTCCAGCCTCGGGAGCGACTTCTGGCTGCAGCGCTATTGTCTTTGTTATCTAGTAAGGAGTGTTTTTAGATACAAATTTTCGCTACACCTTATCATTCCTGATTTTCGTAGACAGCTCTTAGACTAATAAGCCCGACATTTCGGACAGATTCGGATTTTAGGAGGTTATTTTATAGGTTAAATCTTTATTTATAGTACAAATATATTCACAATAAAAAGATAAAAATTAATTTTTATCGTATGATAAAAGGACGGATTCTGTTTAGTGATTTCCTAACACAATTAACATTATTACATTATACTGGTATTTTAAATCGATCTTGAACACGAACTTCTATCCTAAAGATCAAACAATCATTTTGCAAAAAATTTGTTAAGTCTCGTATTCGTACAAATTCTGTATAACCAAAACTCCGCTTGTTCAATTCGCATACTGGTTTCCTAAATGCTTCAAGATCTGGTCTTGATGAAGTTATTTCTCGTATGTCTTTCTCCCAATCATGCGGATGTACCAAAATAAAATACATTGTACCATTAAACGGCCAATCTAAACCATCGTCATTTTCCGATTTCATTATATGCAGAAGCAATGATACAAACTCAGGATCTTTAGAAGACACATTAATTCTAGCACAAATTTTATAACCATTAGGACTCGTGTAGAAACCAGGGCTATAAAACATTTTTAATGGATCATTGATCATACTGTCAAGCTTTTCATGGAAGGAATGTAACCTCCAAATATAAACACCATTACAACTGCGCAAAAACATTTCTTCTTGGTTAAATCGTAAAGATGTCTGCAAAGTTGTAAGCTGTGTTTTTTGATTAGAAACAGTTATAGACAGTTCTCTGTTTTGCTGTTCCAGGACAACTATTCTTTCATACAAATTCCTAGGAAGAGTATAGTCATAAGAATGTTATAAAATCGATTTACATAACAAATGTAAATTGTAAGATTTACTTTAACAAGTGCTGCCACTCTAATGATGGTTCATTATTTTCTGAGGATGTTCCACTTTTTGGTGGTGGATCCCATAACTTAGATTCAGCAGCTACTGCATTAGGATGAGTTTGTGTAATGGATACTTGAGGTAGTGTCTTTAAAACCATCTGGAACATGAATAAACAATAATTTCCCATAGTATAATTAAACATGACTAGATAGCAAGAAAAAAACTAACAGTTAAATGAAGATTTATATTTGTTTCTAAGTGTGTATGTAAATCTTCTTCTACACTGAAAGTCTCTATGCATCCAACTTTTTTAAAGTGGCAATAAATATTTTGTGCATTTGAGAGACTTCTTTTATATACACATTGATCAATGTGTGCCTCCATGTCAACAGGAGATAACTTAATCTCACACCCAAAATTTTGGTAAGGACAAGGTGTACGTTGCTGAGATATCTCCCTGCTTGTATACAAATCTCTGAATAAATCACTTTCTGATTTAAGTGGTTGACTATCAACAGGACAACAAGCCCCTTCCTTTCTACAAATAAAAATTATATGGTAAACATACATTGTGCATGTAACACGTTACAGACATTTGTTAATTTAACATATGAAATATAACTTACTGAAGCCAAGTGTATATACATTGCGAACAGAATTTATGACCACAAGATGTTAAAACTGGATCACGTAGCCAAGTTAAACAAATAGGACACTCGAATCTAGGCTCAAGATATTCTTTCATACCATCGCCACACTGCATGTAATAGTGTAGTTACCAGTATAAGTGGAAAATAATAATTGTGTTAACACAAAATACAAAGCAAAGCTTTAGGAATTTTATTATACACACATTGCAAAACAATAATCTTTAATAAGGAATGAAATGCAATATAAGTACAGCATTGGTAACATCAAAATTTGAAATCTAACAAATTTATTCATACTTACGAGAATATTCTTTTCATCTGTGATACGTTCTTTATCATTGTCTAACCTGGCCATTATCTGTGGGAACATCTATAATTATAGAGTCGGCACATTGTCTGCTTGAATTCATTTTCACAATGAAGCATGTATTAATTACTTTTACCTTTATTTCTATACAAACATTTTTACATGAGTGGCTGTTGACACAATTTTTGTTTATACATTTATATCTTATCTAGTGTCCAGTGAGCTCCAGAAAGGTCACCGCTCGCTAAGCCGCTTAGTGAGCGAGTTTTAATACTAGTGGTGCCATTGGTGGTAGAACGCCCAAGTTTTTGGTAAAAATAGTTCCCACTGTTTTTTTAGATGGCACCACCGATACGTTTAATAAATTATTCTTTATTTTTTCCCATAAATGCATAATTAATACGATTCGTTGCTTTATAACAATACGATATATTAGTTAACACGTCAAATTTATCATCTTGGTGAATAATTATTTGATTTAGCAATAATTACCGATGCCTTCGGTTAGTGGCGCCACCTAGCAGTAACAGTGGAAACTATTTTCACTAGAAACTTGGACGTTTTGCCACCGATGGCGCTACCGATATCTTTTAATCAATTGATAAAAACCGATAGCAAATCTTCTATTAAAAAGCTATTCAAAATAATAGCTCATATAACAATAGTTTAACATTAATAATTGATATAAATATTCCGTTGTTAAATAGCCCTCTTTGAACGCTCCTGTCGTAACACGTGATTCTGTTTAATCCCACTTTATCTTTAACGTGGACAGAAAGTAATGAATTATTTTCAAAGTAGGAGCACACTTGAAGCCTATGTTTGTTCACTGCTATTAGCATTTAGCTATCATAACTGGGATCTGTAGTTTTGCACAGGTGCTTTTCTCACCGATGCCAATAACATGCGAAAAATTTGTTGGATGATCACCAGTCTAATCTAACGGCGAGCACAGGCTGTGCTTAGTGCAGCTAACTTCGTTGATTAAACGAGAACTGGCGTTTCTACGTAGGTACAGCCATTGGCTAGCCGCAAAAATGGTAATTGTACTTTTGTTTTGATTACATCTGGGACATGCTTGACATTTGATATTTGTTTATCTAGAATCTAGCTTTAGCATAATTGTAATCAAGTTTTCTTGCAATTCTATTATATATATTTATAATTGACGATTTATTTCCGAATGAATTTCAACTTTCTGGAATGTTTACATCCAACTTTATGTTGTGATAATTTCACGTCAAAATGCACATGTGCAGTTTTCTTACGTTGATGAAAGAAAACTTTAAACATTTATCTTTAAAATATCAGCAATAGCGTCGGTTGAATCATTTTCTTCCTGTTTTATGTTATAGTCAAATTTATAAAATACGTATAACCAATAAAATTACGTGGATATTGTATTTGCTAATTGTATCTGTTACATGTGCTTCAAAGTAAAGTGAAGTGTATTAGTGACAAAGTTTATTTCATTTTATGAAAAATATACCAAAAAGCTAAGTGTAATATTTATTTTTTATTTTCAGTCTCACACAATATTACTTGTTCAACCAGGAAATAGACCTGAAACACGAACTTATTCTGATTATGAAAGTGTTAATGAATGTATGGAAGGTAACAGTGTTTTATATTAACTATAATTTGTAATAATGTACATTATATTAATGTTTATAATAATTTTTTTTAAATACAGGAGTATGCAAAATTTACGAGGAACATTTAAAGAGGAGAAATCCTAATACTCCAACTATAACATATGATATTAGTCAGCTGTTTGACTTTATAGATCAACTCACAGATTTGTCATGCCTTGTTTATCAAAAATCTACAAATACATATGCTCCATACAACAAGGATTGGATTAAAGAGAAAATATATGTTTTATTACGCAGAGCAGCAGGACATAGCGAATAATTAATGGATAGAGATAGACATATACTTTTATGTATAAGACAAATTAATCTTAAGTCAAAGTCTATATTACCATTTGTAATAATAAATATATAACCTAAAAAGAAATGATAGTTACACTCCTGTTATAGTCTAATCCTTCCCTTAATGTTTTCTGTTTAAGTGTTATGTAGTTCCTAATTTTACACGTATATTTATAATAAAAAAATTACTTGATTCATAATTTTGTGTATAACGATTGATACATCTTTATATAATTAAGTGTACATTTTTAATGAATATATATACTCTCGAATATATTTCAATTATAAACAATATATTTTGTAGAAATGTCATTTGTATTTCCATTATTCAACGAGTCAAAAACGTTTATTATTAATATTTACGAACAAATGTATAATCGATTCCATTTCGTATTCAAATAAGTTTCTAAATGAAAAGCCTGTCCAAAAACATTACGTTGACTACTAAAACGGAAATACGTTTTTTTTTAAACAAATTTCATGAGAAAATCGATGACGAAATATATTAAAATTAATATCAAATTAGGTATAACGAAAAGTAAACAAAGCGCGCAATCTACACAGTCCCCTTGTGAAACATATTCACTTGTAGAAATCGAATGTTAGATTTGAACTGACACAAACTCTATGATAAATTGGTCACATTGCATAAAAAGACTCTTGCACCACAAGGTCACGTTACATTCTACAAATCGGTCTTACATGATTCATATAAATTAGGATTATGACATGTATGATCACCTATCAATACATGCGCCTACCGCGTACATTACACACAATCTATGTACACACAGTTGTATATAGAATTATAAAAGCGCGTAAATTGTATGTACGTACATATCACCATACTGTTTTACGTATTGCGTTTGTGCATCAGCTGTTTACCAATGAATACAGCAGTTTATGTACTGATACACGAGAATAGGAACAACGTTGTATGAGATAGTGTGGTGCGAACAGTATGTTGTCGAAGGAATAGTTTTAGGTATATCAGTTTTTAGATAATATTCAACGTTAGATAGCAGAGAACGAGTTCTGTTCGTCAGTCGATTCGCAAAATATGAAGTCGTGTTAAATGCAGTAGTTTATTGCAGATATTCGATTAGAGATAACACTATCCGAATCGTCATTTATAAACAAGAATATTTTGCACTGACACACGAGTTTAATATCGCAATAAATTTGTATGACAAGTATTCGACTGTGTCTAGCACTAATTCTTACGCTGACCATCGTTTTTAATGGACATCCGTTGTCACCGAGTAATTAAGCGATTGGTGATTTCTTTTGTAAACCACAGAACCTAATAGGTATTCAGTGATAATTACGTATAGTCGACAGAAATGTCTAACACTACAACCGACGTTGATCCATTCAGCGAAACACCTATGGAATTACAAGATTGCGAAGGTAAAATTACAAATACGCTTTTAAATTGTCATTAAAAACAATCTAAACAGCATTTGTACATGAATTGAGAGAACTTCTTTTAGGTAGTTCTTTGTTCAAACTAATTTTGACTCTGTAAGAAGCAGGCCGTATGCTTAAAATACTCGTAATATATGTATATATGTTACATTGCAGTCAATATGTAAAAAGCGTTTGATTGTATGAGTATTACGCAAAACGGCTACGAATGAAATGTTTATGAAGTATTACTAATATGTAACACAAATTAATTAAATTCGCGCGAATTTCAAAGCGATTTAGAGATCTCGTATAAGAAATCATTACAGATAAAACAATTATTTTTATAAGTCGTTATATAACACCATTCATTTAATGTTATTATTCGGTATGATATATTCGGTATAATTTGTATAGAAGTATATTGTAAACATACATACATAATTTCTTGTTCTTACATTAATTTTAATCTTTGATATTTAAAGGAATTGCAGAAGTTACCACAGAACAGAATTTAAAGGAAGAAACAAAAACTGTAACAAATGAATTAACATATGCAGAACCTTTAACACCAGAGCAAGTACGCTGGTTTTACAGAGACGGTGTAGACAAAAGATGGGTAGAATTTTGTGGATACGATAGCTTAAGAATTGAGAATGCTTGGCAAAATTATCAAAGTTTGCTTAGCAAAAATGATGACATACCTAATAAAGTTCTTCCTATTGAAAAAATTGTAGTTAAAGGTGGAATGTATGATGTGGAAATTGATAAAATGAAATGTATTTCTATATACTGCCCAGGTACAATATATTTTCTATTAAAAGTTCTTTATTTTGTAAATAAATTTTGGATCTATAATGATTAAATATAACATAAATATATTAATAAACATTTATTTCATAAAAAGGTGATGAATGGGAAATTATGAGAGGTACTTGGTATTATGATGGTAGTTGGATACCTTTAGAACTAGAACACTCCAAAGTCATTGAAGAAGTTCATCTCAATTTATTCCAAAAACAACCAGGCAAATCCACTTCAACATGCGATACACCATCTCACTCTTACAAAAGTATACATTCTTTGGAATTTCTAGATTATTTTTAATCGTTTCTTATCGTGTATAATTATAATTATATTTTTATTTCAGTACTACACACCGAACATTTTTCTGAGTTTCATGTTGATTGGCATAACATACAGGATGTGATATTATATAGCGAATATAGACATAGTAAATTAATGCGTAGCGTTACATCAAAGCTGGGCTTTGCCAAAAGTAAGAGATTTTTACTTTTTTTTAATGACAACAGTAAAATGAGAATGCATTGAATTGTTTGCTACAAATATTTATAATTAATATTTCAGCCACAGGTTACCAGTTAAGAAGGGGTTACAAAACTGCTGCAATAATGGAAGACAAACCTCATGATATTGATCATATAGTATTTGTAGTACATGGAATTGGTCAAAAAAGGGACACTGGAAAAATTATACGCAACACGACATCGTATGTAGAAAATGAATCTATAATTACACATGAATATACAAGTCATCATATAAAACTAATGTATTACATTTGACATTTAAACAGGTTTAGAGATTGCGTAGATTGGCTGAAACAAAAATATTTTCCTAATTCCAATTATAGAGTAGAATTCTTTCCCGTTGAATGGCGGTCATCGTTAAAACTTGACGGCGGTAAGAAATTATTTTATTTTATTTCGAGAAATGTGTTTTTCCAATTTTTTTTATAAATAAATATTCTTTTAGATATAGTAGAAGCTATTACACCTTATAGCGTATTAAGTATACGCCATTTATTAAATACATCGGCAATGGATATTCTCTACTATACAAGTCCTCTTTACGGCGGGGAAGTAAGGGCTGGTTTACAAAAAGAATTGAATAGATTATACTTTATGTTTGCTAGTCGACATCCCGGTTGGAAAGGAAAGGTTTCAATTTTAGCGCATTCTCTAGGATGTGTAATTGTTTACGACATTGTCACAGGTTGGATGGGTCCGGATACAAGACCTCCATCCCCAGAAACACAGGAAGTATTACTACAACGGCTACAGTTTCCGGTAAGTGTTATTATTTATTATATGTTTTTTCTCGTTGATAAAAGATATTAACTTATAAAGTTTACATACTGTATAATAGGTTTGCACTTTTTAATAGTGTAGTATTATAAAAACTTCAGTAATAATTATCTTCAATAATTGCAGATTGAAAATTTATTTTGTTTGGGTTCTCCGTTATCTGTATTTCTTGCATTACGTACACGCGCTCCATCCAACAGAACAGATGTGATGCCTCAAGGTTTATGCACAAGGTTCTACAATATATTTCACTGGTCTGATCCTGTAGCTTATAGAATGGAACCACTTCTAGAAAGAGGATATAGTAAAATTGAACCAGTTCTTATTCCACCTTACGGAGGAGTCGAGCGTCAGCAGATGGAACAGTCTCCTTCGACGATAAATAGCGCTGACCAAGCGTTTCCTCCTACAGGTACGATAAGTATCCTTTACTTTCGGAATGGTAATTCTTTGTAAATTCAATAGAAATATTCTTAACATATGTTGCAGTAGAGAACGATGAAAGGGATGAAAGTCCAGATATCTCTAGCCGCGCTTCGGATAAAGGCTGGAGCCTTTGGGGTTTAGTGCGGGCGGGGTGGAATGCTAAAGAAGATGCTTCTATACCGCTTCAACCCGGCCAAGGTATAATTTTGAATATATATTGAACAATATTGAAATGTATATAAACAAAACGATAATCAAATAAAATATTTTAGAATTAGCGCAGCGGTGGGATTATGTACTTCGAGCAAGTTTGGGGCGGAATTATCTCTACACGGTAGCAGCGCATACAACATATTGGAGTAACTATGACGTAGCCTACTTTGTGCTGACGAGACTCTTCCCAACATTAGAAACGTGATGTTGGTTTGTACATTTAGTATTGTATTTAAATAGATTTTATTGAAATTTACTAGTCCACTGTAGGCCTTCGAGATCTAATTGAAAGTAGGCCTACCACCAAAACAATCTGTGATAATGAAAAATCGATACAATAATGTTATAGATTCTATCTACATTAATCATTTTATATCGCTCGCATAATTTAAGATTAATATGGTCGAGTTTCACGATAAAAAATGAATAAATGTTTTTATATATCTTACGAGGTAGTTTGTTCGCGTTTATTAAATTCAAATAATTATGTAAACAATTACACGAGTAGTCACACACTTTCATTTATTCGCACCGTGTTTATCGTCTAAAAGACCGATTTTATAACTTATGTTAAACACGATAAATATAGTTTATGTAAAATGTTTACTTAAATGCCTCACTAAGTAATTACCATAAATATCGAACAATGTAGCTATAATATAAAAACTGTTTTGTATTAGACAATTTATATTATTAAGAAATTGTTATTTCTTATCCCTGTTATATATTGAGATAGACAAATAATATTAACTTTTCATGTTCAACGAATAGCTTTAATATAACATATTACTATTGTGCTTAAAAAAAGTGCTAAAAATATTTCAGTTATCATATCGTAATTAATAATTATAAATAGTTCGTATTACGATGAAGTTTCGTAATATTACTTTACGTTGAGAGGTGCAAGTTTCAGCTAACACTTTTTACAATGCAAAAAGAGTATTAATCTTTTTTATAATATTATATGTTTGATCACATTTACACAAACTTAATAAATTGATTTTTTATAGACTAAGAAAAAATAGAATACATGTATTTGGTAGAATGCAATTTTATATACATTACCAAAACTCAAGATTCATATTATACGTAAAATTATCATCGTTACCACTTACAATTATCTATAGATGAAACCTATAGACATTATTTGTTTGTCACTGGTTGTAATATTTTTGAAGAAAGAAACAACTTGTAATGTTTTAGATGGGATTCCTGGTATAAAGAATTAGTTCTTTTTTTCTTGCTTTACTTTAAAGTACAAAGTGAAACTCGCCCCCATATTTTGAAAGTTTACTTAAGATAATATAAAAAGAAACTTGATTAATTAAATTGACCAAGAATTTTGCACAAAAAAAACAAATTGACATTAACATTTGTTGAATTGCATTCATACCTTCATTGCTTCTAATAAGAAAAAAACATGTTTACAATTATTTGTTAATACCTGTTAAATGGTAAATGTTTCTGTTACAATATCATAACGTTAACATTGTACTGTATTAATACTAACTGTAGTGTAAATCAATAGTGTTACTTGTAATAACATTTGTAAATGTATTATAATAATTTTTGTTATAAATTGTCATATATATATATATATATATATATATATATATCAAAAATCATAAAAATTATTGTCTCGAATTTAATTTTTCGTGAATGTGAATTTTGTTAATTTGGTTTTTTAAGGAATATTATACATGACTGTGTTCACAATACGTCTAAATTTTGACCATAAGTTTCTAGAAAATTTAATAAGTGCACTGCTTAATAATGGTTATGTAACAATAAGTTTTCAAGAGCTTTGTCCATAAACACAATTTGGTAGAACGACAATAATATTAAAGAACTAAAAGGATTAATATCATATCAAATTTTAGAAGATAGAATTCATAATAGGCTTGTAGGAACTACATTAATTACTGTCCAGATGATTAATATTATATTCTCAATTAAACATACAAATTAAAAGAAAAATATTAATAACGAAATATATTCTCGCTAATATATTAATAAATTCTTGAATTCAGCTTTTCAACAAAGTACTTAATAATAGTATACAATACAGTAAACTTCTATTAAATCCTACATTCATAAAGATATAAATAATAAACATGTATTTTCTAAAAATTAAAAATATATTCTATATATTCCTACATGCCTGAATTTAAGTAATTAAATATTTTAGCAATGCTTTTTTCTAAATAATATATTTTATCGATTTTAAAAATATATGTATATACATACATACATATGTTTCACATGATTTCGACTATTTCATGGTCAAATTCTATGTAGGTGACTAATTTTATTTGTATAGTTTATTCAATGCAATTTCTTATGTAACTACGTATAATACATGATTTAGATAGTGTTAAAAAATATGATTAAAACGAAACTTCATGGAAATAATACGACATACCCGTACTTCTTATAGTTTCGTTATAATAAATACGATTCTACTAATCTGAAGATAGGTATACATATTTTAAATTATATACTATAGTGAAAATATTAAAGTTTTCTGGTGCCATTTTATAAACAAAATTTATGTACTTTATATGCATAATTCTAGGTACATATGTTTTTTTAATGTAACTTTATGTATCATAAGCAATTGTTCAAATAAAAACACATGCTTTAATTTAATACGTATTTATCTATGTCTATCGTATAAAAACTTGTCAGCCTTATATAAAAAAGATTAAAAAATTCAAACCGCTCAAGTTTGTAGTGAAATAGATCCTTCCTCATATCGCTAGATGGCGCCACTGATATAGAATCTCTCTCTCTCTCTTTCTCTCTCTCTCTCTCTCTCTCTCTCTCTCTCTCTCTCTCTCTCTCT